TGATGCATTGTACGTGTTGAGTTRCTGACAACATGTTTAGGTTTTGAAGTCCGTGGTCCCCAGGGTCAAGGTTTAGCCTCAGTGACTGGTCTTCTGCACCCAGGTAGAACGAATTGTCCTGATTATGCCGCAAGAGAAACAGCCTCCAAACTCTCCATTGCCTTCGGTACTGCGGATGAATTAAAGGTGAAGCTTTACAAGATATGTTTGCTCTTCACAACAGGGCTGTGTGTTTCCATGATTGCGCCAGCTGTTAGCCATGCAAGTAGCCTTAGAGCAAGAATTGGTCCTTGATCCATCTRTTCCCATGGGATTATTGGCCAGGAAGCAGAACAGTGCTTGAAGTTGCCATTTCTGAGAACTTCTTGCTCTCCCGTGCATGTTGCTGAAGAACCTGTGGGAGAAACTCATCCTGACGTGCTGTTCACGAAGGATTTAGCAGGATGCTGAAGGGCCGTTTGGGAAGCGGTGCACAGTGCACGTACCGTGATCAGGTTCGTTATGTTGCTTTGGCAACCACAGCTTTGGTATTTCCTGACTAGGGCTTCTCGATGGAATCATGTTCCAGTATCTGACGTCATCAACCTTACAACCTTCCGAAAAAACAGGTCTGTTCTGTCAGAAAGTGGTAGGAGAAACAGGAGATGGGAAGGATTTCTGACAGTGGTAAAAGTTAATTTTTTTCTAGTTAAATAAGGGTTTTGTTTTAATAAAAACTGCTATTTAGAATTTTAAAGTATGATTCCATTAAATTATAATGGAAATGTAGCAACAATACAGTCAATTTTCCAGTAGGCTCGACAGGGTTGGTTCACATTTTTTCCTGCAGAGAATTTCAGCATTGGGGGGTTTTGTTCCAATCACAGTGAGTCAGATTTCCAAATCTTAATTTTCTTTGTTTCGGCAAAGTCTATATTCCTAACACTCTTCCCTTCTCAGAACTTTACAAGTTTCTAAAACTGAGCGTGATGAATGTGCTACTGAATCAGGGCCATTGCTAATTTATTGGTGTGTGTTTTATTTTGTGCGGGAGTTGTTGAGGTCTTTTCCCTCGTTATTTTTAAAGAAAAGAGACTGAAGAAGAAAAACATTGCACGCATCACTGTTTCATTGTCTCAGCAAAGGCTTTACCTTGCTGTAATGATCCTCATCCCTGTTTTTCTAGTCAAGAAAATGTCTTCACTTCTGTGTTTCACTCCTAGGCCTCTGGCAGAGCTTGCTAAGGTTGAGCCTATGGGTTGGACTTGGATCTGCATGGAGGGGATGCCAATGGAAAGGGGCAGCGCTGGAGGATGAGCCCTTCTCCCAGGAGCACAAGCCTCCCACTACTTTCCAGAGGGCATTTCCACGGATGCAGATGGCAAGGTGATCCTTGCTGAAGCACTCATTTCCTTTAATCTCTTCTAAGGGTAGAGATACCTSTGTGAGGAGATGGGCAAGCCGCTGAAGGCAGGAGATAAGCCAGGCTTTGCTCGGGGAAAGCCGCTCACAGCCGGCGCAGCTGCCTGCTCCGGGCTGGCTCGCCGAGGTCGCCTCAGGTATTGCCACACTGCCCCGTGGCTGGATGGGGAGGTGCTGCCCTACGTCAGCTTAGACACCTGTAGTGCGTGGGTGCAGCGAGGCGACCACCGGCTGTCGTAGGGAGGGAAGGAAGCACCAAATAACCCGGGACGGGCAGCCCCATCATTTTAGTGTTGCTCCTGCTGCCCAGTGGCTTCAGATGTCACACCTCAGCTTAACGTCTGCGCTATTTCCCCCCCGCGCCAGAGCGAAAGGAATTCAGGCATCGTGCGCTTCTCCCCTTCTCGAGGTTACGGATTTCTGCACACCCTTGAGATTGAGTTTTTAAGGTCAGCAGCGGCATTTTTAGGTCACGGAACTGCGGTGCCCTGTCTTCTAGCCAGCTAATCAAATGACTAATTAGCTCCTTTATCACTGCAGTTATCTTATCTTTTTCCCTAGCTTTGGTTCAGCTCTGCAGGATGAAGCCTGTTAGGAGAAAACATTTGAGAATTATTTGTTCGAAAACGTAGAGGCAGATATGGTGAAGAACGAGCAATCATTTGTGTCCGAATTAATCTGTGCATCTCAGTTCATCTGTGTATACTAAGGCATCCATCATAGCCATTTTACTTTCATTATATTTTGGGTTATTTCTGCAGGATTTCTTTTAATAAAAGGCAGCTGTGTACATGTAAGCTTAATCTTTAATATAATATACATGTGTGTGCAGAAGAGCACTTCCTCCCGCTACCCTCTAAAATACCCSTAAATAAATGAAACCCCGGGCAGTGCAAACCTTTGTGTGTGTCACAGCTATGTTAACCCRCCTCATTTCCCACTTTTCTCAGGTGTTGATGGCATCTGGTTGCGACAGATGCTTTCTGATAAAGCCTTCAGATCAACACGCCTTTGGAGACATCAGTGCTCTGTGTCGGTACTTGCAGACTGCTGTATCCAAATACTCTTCTTTAATTGTCTTATTAAGTAGAGAATTAAGCTCRGAGCTCTGACTGTTTTGGTGCCAGTGATTCTTATTGCAGCCTTTGGCAGGGCCCCGGCCTGTGTTTTAAAGAGGCAGCATCACTTTAATTACGTGCAAATTAAGCCGGAATATAAAATCCACGGAGAACAATGGCTGACTGGGAGCGCGGTACGTAAAGTCCGGGTTTCTGTTCTTCCCCTCCCACTGTTCGGTGGGGGTTTTAGCTCAAATGCCTGCAATGATTTAAGAAATACAAAGCAGGAATTCCCCCTGCTGCCAGACCGCAGGCTCCTAGCGCCAGCCGTGCAGACGAATGTCACATGTTGCTGTATGTTTGGAAAGGGAACCATGTGTTATTCTTTAGCTGTCTCAGCGCTCCCCCCAGCTCTACAGTCTCCCCAGTCAATCCAGCAGAATAGCTTCTAATGAAATAAACTTTCCTCTTCCTCCCCTTCCGTGCAGACTTGGGATAGCAGCAGAGCGTACGTYGCTCCATCGCCGCCGCGCCGGGCACAGGGCTCTGCCTGGGAACTCGCAGGAGGGATTTTAACTTGACTTAATGCAACTTGGCCTCTTGTGCTTCCAGTCAGGAACTTGTGACACTGATATTGCAGCTTATGTTGTGTGTTATGATCAAGAGCTCACAAATGACTACACATATGGTTAAAACTTTTTTTTTTTTGCATGGAATATAATATGTTTCAGTTTGTAACTCAGATGTGGGTCTGGATAAAGAGCGCTTGCCATTAGAACCACTTTGTTTCCAGAAACAATTTTTTACTCCTCCTTCTYTACTGTCTTGGGTTAACGTTTCCTCCGGCTAATGACAGGACCGGACACGCAAACCAGATTAGAGCAGCGTGTGAATAGTGGGAGCTGAAAACGCTGGCACGGTGCTTCGCCATCGYCAAGGTTAAGCGGTTTACCGCGAAGTCCCAAGAAGTGACCTGAAAGCAAACACAGAAATTAATGCAGAAGTCGCGCGCCCAGCCGGCCGGAGCGCGGCGCCAGGGGCTCTGTCCCCAAGGTGGGAACGCGGCTCCCTGCTCGTCCCGCCGGGTGCCTCATGCGGAGCAAGGGGGCAGCACCGGAGCAAGGGGGCAGCACCGTGGCCACCACGGGGCAGGGGCTGGTGGCAGGAGAGCGGCTCCCCGGGCTCCTCCTGCAGGGTCTGCTCCCGCTCTGGCAGAGGGCAGAGTTGCCCGGTGCTTTTGCTCCCCATCCCTGTTGAGTCCGGCAGTTTGGGAGAGCCTTCCCTCAGGGGAGGCCCTTTGAGTTGGTCTGGCTGCAGGAGATGCCATCTCTGACCGGCAGAGAAACCCAGCGGCTCGGGATCTGGTTGAAACAAAGGGGAGCTGGTGAGGAAGCCAAGAACAGCTGGTACAAGGGGCAGTTGCAGATTAGTTGCAGATACAATCTAGACAGTTGCTGAAAATCCATTGTATTTCCTTTGTATTCCTTCTCTCATTTTTTTTCCATTCCCTTCTATCCTGCCTGTGAGTGTTATGCAAGCTCCTCTTTAATACTGTAGGTGAGAACTTAGATCCTTGCTTGGTCTGCCAAAAGACACCTTGGTTTGCAAGAGTATGGGTTGTACTGGGGACAAGATGGGTCCTGATATTTATTCAGCTCAAAACCTGAGGTTTGAATCCACACCCCAAGACTGGGTCCCAGCGTGTGTCTTGCGTGTCAGGCTTGGAATTCACTTTCCTGTAGAAACGAATGATTTATTAGCTCCCAAAGAAAACTGGGGAAGTATAGAAAGTTCATGTTTCATATCTATGTGTAATTACGATGCAGTACTTGAATGATGAGGTGTTTAGCACAGGTAAAAAGCTAACACAGTCCCAGGTGGATGCAGGTTTCCACCAGGCTGTGTCCGACGGCAGTTCCAGCGCATCCTGCTGGGACCGGGACCTCCTTCCTCAGCAGTTGCTATGGGAGGACCTGCCACGCACAACGTGGTGCTGCGGTGACAAAGTTATTCCGCTAGTGCTGGCACAGGGCCCAGGCCAGCKCTGGCCTGCGAGCCTGAGGGCAGCGAGCACCGCTTTGTGCCTGGTGGGGTATTCAGTGTGCGCCTGTGTGCGGAGGAGGAAAATCACCCCTGTCCCTGGGAGCACTGCAGGAGAGAGCCCTGGAGAACGGGGCACAGATGAGGCGAGAGGAGGGTGGGAAGACCATGTGGTGTGGAGGTAGAGAGGCAACAGAAACCTGAAAGAAACCAGGCTTAATTACAGCCTCTTGCTATTTTATTTATTTATTTATTTATTTAACATCAGGACAGAGTTAAGTTGGTTACAGCAAGGCTCAGGTCCTACTTGATCTTCAGCTAGTGCTGTTCACTGAGGCAAGATAGGGAGGAATCTAGGCCACGTCTAGAGCTAGGTCAGTTTTTGCCCTTGATGGATAGAGGTTGTCCCTAGGGAAGTGTTTTGGCCTCCAGGTGCACACAGTTTGCTGCTGCTGCCATCGAAGTGCAGCCTCCCTTCCTTGGGAGAGTTCACGTGGGAAGCTGGAGTGCTCACAGAGGAGGTTTTGAGATGAGCTGCTGGAATAGGAAAACTCTGCTGCTCCTAAGGACTGATCACCTACATCTGGCAGCTGAGTGGGATGAAGAGCTAGTGCAGCTGCTGTTAATTCTAACCCAGCTTTAACAAAGCTTAAAGAGGCCAAGCTTTGGGGCTTGGAGCTCTTTAGAATCCCTAACAGTACTGACTGTGTCCCATCTTCTGGAGGAATCCCAAAGGTACCATTTTCCAAACAATTCTGTATTCTGAAGAGACTTTAATGTGAATTGCTGCAGGTTATATTCTTCTCACTCTGMCTCTGGAGTTGGGTGCTGTATGGGGATATTTGGATTGTGTCTTCAAGGCTGAAAATGTGAAGCTCTGAGTTACCTTCTACTATGACTTTCCAGAGCCRGGGAGTGGGTTACCTGGTGTTTTCATGTAGTAGGTAACATGGCAAGTTACAACAGAGSGTTCCTTGAAAGTCCTGTGAAGTGCTGTAGCTCTGGCTGGCTGGTGTGGGGACCTTGGGTGCTCTTTATGAGATGGACTCGCCCCTAAAACCTCTCGAGTGACTGSTTTGTGAGAAGAAGTGTGGTCAGGGAGGGCTTTCCTCCAGCCAGTGTGTTACTGTTCCCCTTGCACGTGAGTCCTGGCAACCTGTGTGTGCTGATATACTCGATATGGAGCTSTTTTCTGCCACTACCAGGGGTTTCACTAGTGCAAAATGCCTACACATCTGCAGCATTACCTAGGCAGCAGGTACTACCTGTGTTTTGCTGTGTGCCTTGTTTGTGTGTGAATACCCAGCTGCTATTGAAGGTAATGGCTAAAAGCTAGGAATCTCTCCAAGGTTTGCAACTTTATGGCTGTGGCAGCCGTTTTCCTTGTGATGTTGTAGTAGTTGTGTCCCAAAAAGTGTCTGAACCAGGACTCCTTGATTTGTGAAAGAGGTGGCTGTAAACGCTTGTTCCCTATGAGGGATCTGGGAAGAGCACCCTCCCCTGCTCCGTGAGAGCCTTTTCTGTGGTTTGCAAAGCTCATTTTATCCYTCAGGGGACATGTAGGGTGTGAATGTGTCTCGGTTCTGGTTGTTGGCAATGTCTGCACAGGCTATCAGGGGAGGGAGGACAGCTATATTACTACATGGGAAGTTCCACAGGTCATCTTCAGCCTTGTTTCTTAAGGTAGATCTTTACCTTATATTTATTGATTTTTTTTGTTTCTTTTTTCAGTGGACCAGTAGGGGCCTTGTTGAGGAGAAGGCTGGAATGTGAATGAACAGCTTTCTGCTCTGCTAGGCCTGCGGGCTAGTCCGTGAGCATGAGCTTAGCTCAGAGCCAGCCACAGCTTGTCGTGCCTCTTGCCTCACTTGTACCTAAGGGAAGTAGAGAACTGAAGAGGATGAGCTCCTAGATAACGTGCTGGGAGCTGGAATAATTATTGTTGGGTAATGAAAGGATGTGAGACACTAATCTGTAGGAAACCAGTCTTCATTAGTTCCTCAACTTGTTGGGCAACTTGCATTCTTTTATTAATTTTTTATATGGCAAAGTGACTGGAGTAAAAAATAGTCTAAGTGCCRRGGGGGGGGGGATAAACAGTGAATTAAAAGGATTAAGAGTCTGAACATTTTATTGCTTTTGGAAAGATGTTATTAGATTTATGTGCCAGGTTAAATTTACATGCCTGAATTACTACTAAACTTAGTAATGAGCTTGTGAGGGAAAAACATCTGTTTACGTGTTTTAAAAGGACTTCATCCAGGATATGTCATCATTTCTAGGCTATAAAGGCAGGGTTTTTTGTGCCAGATGCTGACTGGGCATAAGATTCTTCTGGAAGTCACTGTGCACGTTGGGTAAGAATCGATGGTGGCTCCAACAGGTGTGATTATCAGAAAACAATTGGCAGTGTTGGGTTAGTTACGGTGCCAACTGCAATGCCCTGGATGATGTGAATTGGCTTCGACTTTTGAGACTCTTTAAGATGATGTTTTTTTGAACACACAAAAGCTGTTTGCCTTCTGAAGACAGCTTGTGCCTCACAAGACTGATAGCTCTTGTGGTGAATCTGCCTGGGGTCACCAGCAATAAACATCTCTCCTGCCACCCAGTGACATCTCAAGGACCTCAAGCCTCTGCCCTTTAAAGGGCTGAGAATYGCTGACTGTAGATGCATGAGCTTCCTTCGGATCCGCCGTGCTTGCGTGTGGTTCCCTTCCCCACACGGCTCCTCACGCAGCACACTTGCACGTTGGACACAGTCCAAATTTCTTCCCTCCTGGGGATTCCTTTGCTGTTAATTTAAGTGATGGCAAATGCAAGCTTCTTGCCAGAGCTTGCTGTGTTTCTTGGATGCTTTTTTTAGCTGTTCCCCCAGGGAGCAGCTTTTGTCCTTCCCCATGGTGCTTTCTGCTTTAGGGAGAAAGACTGAGCTGGAGCTGATGGGTCCCACCTGGGTTTGAATAACTCTGTCTCTGAAGTTGCTTTGGTACCTAAGTGTGTGCCACAGTTTTCAAACTTTGGCTTTGTTTTTGTCCCTTCAAAACTGGGCCTGTAATAATGCAAGTGTTTACACAATCTTTGTTTTAATAGCAGACTAAATGCTTATGCTAAATAAGTGCTTCTATTAGATGTTTGTGTACAGCACTGTGGGCTGCAGTTGCAATTGGCTTCAGATGCTGCACTGAAGTTAAGGTTAGGAGAAAATATTACTTTAAATAGGTAGGTAAAATAGCTTTTCTGCCCAGAATCTGTGGGGCAAAGTARCGCATTAACAGGAGGCAGTGTGAGCGCAATGAAGAGAAGCATCTTGGCCGTAAGTCATAACTGTGGCCTGCATTTGGTGTAAGGGTCTCCTCTCAAACCACAGACAAACAAATAGGTCAGCTCAGGATTTTGTAGACTGGAAAGGTGGTAAAGATTGGAGGTTGCAGTAGATGTGGCCAGGGAAAAGCTGGAAGGTCACTGTTCTTTTTTAAAATAAAAGTATATGTCCTACTTGACTGTCTCCTTGCTGTTGGAGGGAGCTTCGGCCCCGATCACCAAGTTTTTCCTGGGGGCCCTGGCGTGCTGGGGGCTGCAGTGGCGCTGCTGAGGAGCACGGGGCTGTGGTTTGCTTGGGAACAGTGTGCAGCAGCCCTGTTGTTATTGTGCAGGTGGTTTCATTAAGGAAACGTGTGGCAGGAGGCTTCCGCAGCAGGGGAGAACAGCGTCGGCTTTGTGGAGCTGCAGGTGTGCGAGGAATGGCCTGTTTGGGGCCTGGGGCAGGCACTGCTCTGTTTTCTGTGGTCATCGAGGGCTTGGCTCATCACACAGTGATGTAACTGCTGTCTCCCTTTCCTTGTGGGGCTGGAGGACTTTGGTGGAAGAGGTTGGTACTCGGCAGTGCTCTGTGACAGCACCAGGAGGCAGCTGGAAACGGCCGTGGAGGCGCCCGCTAGAGAGCGACCGTCCTGGATGAGGGATAAAAAGGCTGTGCCCGAGGCAGGGAGCAGCCCAGCATGGCAAGCAGGCTCAGGATTGGGCTAAATTAGAAAGATTCAACGAGGATTTAGGTGCACTCCCCCTAGTAAGGAGCCAGCAGGGACTCGGGCCACAGAGCCGGTAACCACAGGATGTGTAATGCATTCAGGTCTGCTTCACTCCATTACACCAGAGACTGACAAATTGGGAAGAGTTTAGGGGGAGAAAAAGGCAACAAGAAGGCTTGAGGGATTGACTTATGAGGAAAGACTGAAAGAGCTGAATATGGATAACTTGGCTAAAGGATGACAAATGGGGTGGCTGAGATATAAATCTACAAATATCTGAAGGGTGTAAACACCAAGGCTATGAAGAATTATTTAGAGTGGTACAATGGGGTGTAACTAGAAGTAATGGGATGAAATTTAAGAGAAGGCAAATTTCAGTTGAATAATGGGAGAAGCTTTTTGACAGCGTGATGTATTAGGCCGTGGGATGCTCCTCCAGCAGCAAGCCTATTGCTCACTGCTTAGGGCCCAACCCTGTTTAATAACAAGTGAGAGCTTTTCGCAGCCCTTATTAAGGCCAGTTGCAAGTGGCGCCTTTCGGTTTGGCGCGGAGGGGAGCGAGCGAGCGGGCGCTGTTGTGCCCATCAGCAATTGGGTCGTGGCCACAGAGGAGACGTCCCATGTCCGAGCGGCCCCACGGAGCTGGAGAACAGCCCAGACGGCCCCGCTCGGGCTGGAAGCTCGGCTAGGCCTGGCCTGTCTGCCCTTTGATCTGGCCTGACTTTTATCAAACCTCTCGTGCTTCTCCCCGCGCGGGCCTTGGACTTTTACCGCTTGGGCCTTAGTTCAGTTACGGGCTCTGCAACAGACATCAAAGTTGCACTTCAGCTCTGTGTAAAATCCAAGAAATCTCCCACTTTGCTTCAAAGAAACCAGGACAAACAAGATCCCATTGATGCATACGGGCTCTGCTCTTTTATACGTCCACAATACTGTACCTTAACTTTTTCTTTACAAACTCCCATTTCTTCTGGAGCTTTTCACTTCACTTGAAATGCAAAGTGAGGTCAAGGGATCGCTCTCCTCCTGGCAGAGCGCGCCGCATTGTCTGTCATTTTGAAGCGTCCTCCGCGGTGACGGAGGAGAGGTTCGTTTCTCCTCGCTTTCGGCCTGGGAACGCCTCCTCTGAAAGCATTTCCCTTTCCCCCTTCTTGAAGGGCTAAATTAGAAAATTAGGTAAAATAGTTGTGTGAATCGAGTTAGCGTGTTTTGGCTAACGTGGTAGTTTATCTTCTGCATGGGGGAGATGGCAGAGCGTCATGTAATTAGGGAATCAAATGTGGTTGTAGCACTTGGACCAGCAATTCAGCCTTTCCATTGGAGAGGGAGGACAGAACTCTAAAGCATTGGCATGCTTGGAGCATAAATGGGATGAGAGCTGGAAGTGTCATTTCTAATTGTCCTTAAATGTGTTTTGCATTGCTTGTGCTGTCCCTGAAGAGGGCTGTGCCCGAGAGCTCCAGGGAAGTTTGAGTTATGTCCTTTCCAAGGCTGTGGGAAGGAAGAACTGCTGAAGAGTTTCATTCCGCTCTGGATGGGGATGCATATTTTCTTTGCTGAAAAACATGCAGTTTTGGTCTCCTCCGAACTGGGTTAATTTGGTGAATGCTTTTCACGGGGAAATTTGTATGTGGGGGAATGTCAGCACGTTTGTGTCTTGGTTGTGGCCGTCCCTCTCGCGGAGGGCTGTGGTGAGCAGCACTT